GCTGATTGTTTTTTTTTTCTTTTCGTTTTTGTAATTGAGGATATGTACAATAATGATAATGGAAGCAATGATTTTTATTATCCAATGTTATTGTAACGTTGTTCCCTAACTATATAAACCAATTCAAATGCTACGAGAATCTGATAAAAACAAATGCTACTAGTACTATCAAAGAACAAATGTTATTGTAACTACTATCAAAGAACAAATGCTACGAGAATCTGATTAAAAACAAAAAAAGACACAAACCAATTCTTATAAGGTCTAAGAACCTTTTCACTAGTGCTATCAAAAGGTCTTTGACGACTTGGTTTGAGTCCAAGTTATTATGATGATTGAATAAGATTCAATCAACTTCCGATGTAGACACTTTACCAGGTAACTGCATATCGACAATGTCTTCTCTTGGAAGTGTTTCCTCAGTTTGTGAGTTTCTTGATGCAAGAAGATGAGTTGGTTCTTTGTTTTTCCGAAAGACAAGATAAGCTATGGAAGAAGCTAAGTAGATGGCAATCCCTGAGAACCCAAAAATTCCACTGAAGACGACCGCGACAAGCTTCATGTGACTATGGATAAGGAGCTTGATGAAGCCGCTTACTAGATAGTATATGTTTATTCCCATGATAAAGGCACCAATGACCCAAGTCAAAGCTGAAATCTGTGAAAAAAGGGAACATATTAAGTCAGATATCGACAAAGGTTTTCGATATTTTTTGCTTTGGTTAGATGAATATGTGTTTGATTGTTACATACCGCGATTGGATTGACGTGTGAAGCCATCTTGGTTTTGCAGCTAGTGAATTTCAGAAGAGGAACTAGTGCGAACGGAAGCTCAAAGGATAAGATCATCTGTTTTAGATGAATTATATTGATGATTGATTGGTTTAGTAAGTCATTTCTATAAATACATATGATTAGAGCTGGAATGATTGTGTTACCGAGGCAATGATGATTAACTTTCCGGCTCCAGCTGAACCGCCAATGAGGGCAACGATTAGACTCGGGATTATAGCTAAGCATCTTGTTAGTAAGTTTCTGAGCCATGGCTCGAGTCGTAGATTAAGAAAACCCTGCATGACGTAGTCCAGCATAAGTTCCAGTGATCGTTGAACTCTGGCCGGAAGCAAGAAGCGCGATTGCGAATATCTTTGAACTCCATTTCCCCAAAACGTTCTGTTTGAAAACAGAGGAAGCTTAAAGCTTTAATGTTCTGAAAACATTATAGGAACAAACACAAAATAAGCAAACAACAAAGCAACTTACCCATAGAAGAAACGAGGCCTTGTTTAAGTTCAAATCCTCACAACTAGCTCGATCTTGGGGGCTTAAGTCCGGGGCATTACAAACAGCACCACTTACTGATATCACAGAGACGTTTATAAGAAAAGCCACCATCAGAGCGAAGCCGCTTTCTATCAAGTAAAACCTGCAAGCTTCCTTGATTCCAGAAGCGGAACGAGGGATTTTCCTTGAGAGCACCAAAGCCGAGTGGAGGAATAGATTGTGCCTGCGTAAAAGAGACGGTCTCAAAACATATATCGAAGAATCTTATGATGATGCGTAAAGAGAGAGAGAGAGTGAACTTACGGCATAACCATGGCTCCAAGCAAAGAAATCGCGAGACCAGTTGCGCCATTTCCTTTAAGTTGAGGAACAAAGAGACCATGTAAGACTTCTCCTGCGTCTGGCTTTGAGTAATGGAGCTCAATAAAGAAGCATATAGCTATTGTGAAGACAAGAAATGCAATCAAGAACTCCAACTTCCTCACCTATAAATCCAAAACAAGAACAAACATCATAAGAATTAACCATACATAGCACCAAAACGAGGAGATTTCAACTATCGAAACTAATACCCCGTATTTTTGATAGTGCGAGAAGAATCAGTGTACTTAAGCCTGTCAAAAGAACACCAATCCACACTGGTATGCTAAAAAGCATGTTCAAAGCAAAAGCTGTTCCGATTACTATATAAGGAAACAAAATTTGGCAATTAGTATTACCAGAGAGATAAGAGAGAATTATATTTGAATCACACTAACTAAGAGTATAGAAGTGTAATGCCTTCCGGTATGTCACAAGCAACCACTGCAATTTCTGCAACGACCCATAACATAAAGTTTGGAACTTTGGCGTACTCAGCTCTACAATGCTCAGCTAAATGTTTTCCTGTCATGATCATGTAACCAAAATTAGTAAACTTGGTCTATAAAAGAGTGACTCTTTTTTTGTTGTTGTTGTTGAAGAGTAATAACCTGTGACAACACCAAGATTAGCAGCCAGAGATTGAATCACCAAACCCGCACAAGAAGCCACCAATATGATCCAAAGCAACTGTTTTCACAAAGAAATCATGATTTTTTCATATCGAAAAATCGATAAACTAAAGGAGAGTAATAACCCACCTCGTATTTGTATTGTGCTCCGGCTTGCAGATCAGTCTCAACTGTAAAACAGAGGGATCATGTCAATGTACAAAAAAAAAAAGATTATACAAAACAAAGTGATGTGATTTTATGAATGATCTTACAATTTCCAGGATCAATATAAGCGATTGAAACAAGAAAACCAGGGCCTAAGTAAGCAAAGAAATTCTTCCAACTCTTCTTCTGCATATAGAAGAAATAAAACAAAGTTATTAATCAAACAAACTCTTGCCATTTTTGAATCAAAATCCTCTGTTTTTCAGTCTAGTGATTATCTTAGTAAACTGTTACTTAGTAATATTATACTAATCAAGTAAACACATGTGAAAACGTTTTCAGAAGAATTC